GGAAGGCGGTCTTGGACCTCGAAGCCTCACCACTGCAGTTCCTGAAGGACCTGTACCCGGAGGCCAGGCACCTTTCAGATTGGTTTGGGTGGTTGTCAGGAGCGCACTTTGTGCGACCCCTTCAGGCTTCGTGATTCCGGAGCCTTGAAATCTTCCTGCAGCGATACAAGTGTTGAGGATTACATTTCCCGGTCTGATAGGGTTGTGGGGTGCAAGACTGGGCTTCTCCTTGGGTCCGTTGCCGATGGGGAGCACGTGGCGGCAGGCATGTTGGGACAAGGATTTCCGTGCAGACTGCTGTGCAGTTCTGGTCCTCAGGTCCCCTTGGCAGGCGTCTTCAGTTTCTGCGTCGCAGTGTAACCACGGCTTCCCCTGCATTCAGGGCATCGTCACCACATCGGGCAAGAAGAAGATGGAAGATCCTGAGTGGCGAGGCCTGCAAGGGCCTAGAAAAGGCTGCCGTACAGCATCATAGTCGGATCGGCCCGCTTGTGGAGTGCGAGGCAAGCTGGGCTCCTTCGGCATCACTGGAGACTTCCAGTGCGGGACTCACCAAGCATTCAAGGAGTGAACGTTGGAGTCATGCTACAGTCTGTGTGGCTCATGTTGACAAGCCGGCAGTCACCTGTGCCAGCGGTTCCGTTAATGCCCATACCGAACTTTCCGACGAGTGAGTCCATTCCATGAGTAGTGACTAGTGTCGCGTCTCACCATCGTCTTCGCTTGGCCACTAAGGACCCGCAAAATGAAGACCATGTCGGATGCTCCGCTGCACCTCAGATGTCGTGCTACTCGAAGTTTGGGAGCCTCTGCTTTTTGTAATCATCGAAGTGTGCCTTGGGGCCGTGATCCGATAGGAAATCAACCGTGCTGTCCGCTTTGTGGGACTATGGTTCCCGATGGATAGAAGTTCTTCATGCCCCTTGCGCTGCTCTAAAAACTCCGAAGCTGTATTTAGCCATTCCTGAGTCGCCACCCCCCTGAACTCCCGCGCTTCTGTCAGGACGGGTACAGGACGCGTGTCCGGGGCTTGGCTGTGACGAACAAGAGAGACAGATCAGTAGATTGAACTTCTTCTGGAACCCTTGCTGTTTTCAGCATGTTTGGCGACTCGTCCTGCTGCTTGTGTCCCGCACCCAAAAATGAAACAGTCACTTCATCCCATTGCCAGATGGTGATGCTGCTGATGGCGCTGGTGAATCCGCATGTCCTCCTCCTCGATGAGCCGACAAATCACTTGGACATGCAGCTTGGCTTCCCTTTTGCTTCCATCTCGTTCTTGGAGTCCCCGGCTGTAGGGCCTCGCATCATGCCGAGGCAGTGCATCGATGCTTTGGCAGGGGCCATCAACAAGTTCTCTGGTGGTGTGGTTCTGGCCACCTAGATGCACAGTCAGGGCTTCGGCATGTTGCGTCTGGTCGGAACACTCCTTCGGCACACATGAGTGGCACAAGTCCATCCAGCATCCAGGAGTGCGGTTCACTGCAAGTGACGCAAGGTGAGCCACGACTTCCGCCTGATCTCCCAGGTGGCGAAAGAAATCTGGGTATGTGTCGGAAGCTCAGGGCCTGGGAATCGGTCTCCGTCGTCTAAACGGACTCTAAACCATTCCTGCCGGGAGGACAAGAAGACGGTGTCTAAGTGGGAGGGCGACATCCAGTCGTACAAGAAGCACCTGAAGAAGGAGGCCTGAGTGGAGAGTGGGCTCGTGGTTCGGTAATGAAGTTCGGAAGATGCCTGTGCGGATCGTGAATGCGAGGTCATGAAGAAGTTCAAGGCCTGAGACAGTCCACGTGCACCTTCATGAGGGCATAGGTCACACCTTTGAAGTGCGCCTGATGCTCTCTGATGGAAGTCGGGCTGTTGTTCCGACGTTGCATCCATACCCCGGCCTAGCTGTCACCCACCGTTGAACTCCGGAACCTCACTTGGCTGAGCTTCTTCCAGATCGTTTCTCTCGGTGAGATCAGAGCAGCGCTGGTACACGTACTTTTCCATGCATGGCCTGCCGAAGTCTGATTCCAGACCGGGCATCTCTCTTGTGTGGAACCGTCTTTGAGACAACTGATGGTACAATTCCACTTCTAAGGAGCTCTCACCTCGAAATCTGTGCACGCTTCCACATGCTCGTCTTGGCTTTTCGGGCCGAGAGTTTTGCTGGACGCGGTCTGCCAAGCCAGAGCGAGTGATGGCCGAGGGCAGTGAAGCTAGCTGCCACTGTTCTGCCTCGGACCGTGGCGTCCTGAAAGGGCGACTTCGCTAAGTCCTCCAACGCATAAGAAGGGAAATATGCACTTTGAGGAGTTGCCCTGTCTCACCCCTCGGGTCAGGGCACCCTGGCCTCAATGCCCAGCGCAGGGCGGGTGCTGGCGATGCAGCACCGGGCCATTTGCTCGACTCCGAGGGGTCCATGTTTCATTTCATTTCTAGTTCCGTGACTTTGGCCGTCCCTGGCCAGTTTTCCGTCCGGCACCTCGTAGTTGGATTCATGACTGAGGTTTCTTGTGTGCGAGTGATAGGGGTGCCGTGCCAGAGATCAGTGCTACTCTGAGCCAAGTCTCCTTCAACTTGTGTTAATGTCTTTCTGTTCTTGCGGTCTTGTGGAATCCACAGGAGCCGCAATGAACGCAGAATCCCAACCACGCCTCCCCCTGCCTGTGAGAGCCATTCGTGCCAGGGCCGGGAAAGCAGCACACCTGGACAGTAAAACGAGGTGTGGCAGCAGCTGCCATGTACCGGGCCCAAAGATCCGCAAGCATGAGCTTTCAACAACCACGAACTGCCTGAAAGTTGCAGCGTTGCAGAGTAGTTTGACCAGTAGTCAACATGGCTTTTGGCCGATCGCCGTACCATCACGACCGGAGCCCGAAGCCAAGCCTCTATCGGCATGTTGCGCATCATTGAGGTTGGCTCAATTCCTTCAGCCCTTCCGAGCCCCTCCCCCGCACAAAGGGACACAATGTCGGCCCAGGAGCTGGCACTGATCCACGGCACAGGTTGCGTTGGGGCACTGGTGAGCACATGCATCGCCTTGGCGCCCCTTCGGGAGATGCTCCGTGCCAAGGCAGTGGGAAGCTTGAACGGCTTTGACACACGGCAGTTGCCACTTCTCTTCGTGAACTTCTACATTTGGGCCGTCTACGCCGTGCAAGTTGGAGACGTTTGGGTCTTCCTGGCCTCGAGTCCCGCAGCGGCCGTTTGCCTCTACAACATCACCAGCGCCATCACCTTGCTCTCGCACCTGCGCATAGATCATCCTCTCTTGAAGCTTCTAAGTCTCCGAAGCTCTAGAAACCCAAACCAAGTGAACAGCCTTCTCTTTTGCCCCATGCAGCCTAGGCAGGAGGAGGGTGCAGTTAGCCAGTTGTGCCAGCCTGTCGATGCTGGCTTCCTTCGACGCAGTGCATCCCGAGTCTGGGTCGCCACTGGATTAAGGTTTTTGCTTTGAGGGATTGTGTTGACACCGGAGACCCTGAAGCTTTGGATGTCAGGAGCCTGGCATGAGGCCAGCAAAGAACAGCGCAGCTGTATGCTGAGAAGGCTGGAGAGGCAGACTGTTGGAGGATTCCTTGCAATCTCTTTCATCAGCTGCTTCCTGGGTAAGTGGGAACTCGCTGGTTTGGAGGTTGTCAGCGACATTTTTCCTGTGTCACTGCGGGAAGAGGTCCTGGGGTGCGTCGGGTCCATGGCGGCATTTGTCGCCTATTCTCGGCCCGTTATGCGCCTCTACACCTATTGCTGTCGACGGGATGCCTCGCCGATCCTCCTGTCTCTGGTCTTCATGGTGTTGATTAGCAATACGTTGTGGACCGTCTATGGCATTAGCACGAACAACCCCTGGGTTTATGTCCCAAACGGTTCGGGAGCTTTGGTGTCTATCATGCAGATCTTTGTGCGCCTGGTCTTTCCTGGACGCCGCAGTCGGAGGGATCAGAGAGATGCCTTGGAGAAGCCGGCCATGTCAAAAGACCTGGAGGCTAGCGCCACGAGTGTGCACCCAGATGATGGATCCCTGCGTCTCTCCTCGCGCCAGAATCTGCATGAAGACTACTTGCTTTGGCAGCAGGACTACTTCAAATGGCGGTCTATGGCTGCGACCGTGTCGTCGGCATCTTCTACGGCCTCAGGGGGCGATGAGGATGCAGACTTAGGCCTAGGCCTGGCGGAGAATGGTCAGCTGCTGCCCAACCAGACTGTCGATAAACCTTCCGGAGTGCGGACAATGGGCAGCCATGATTTGCCAGCTCAAGTTGGAGGGTGAAGCCTTCATGAGCCTGCATGTAATTATCTTCATTAGGACCTTAGCTTTTTGCCCAAGGCCCGAGGCCAGTCGAGCCTGTGAAGTTGCAGCTGGAGAGTTGCCATGAGGAAATGTTGACCAAGTCATACTTGCACCCAAGCTCACGGAAGAACCCATGGAAACTAACCAAATTTGCTACGGCTTGGCACACCAGTGCCGAGATTGTTGCAGCGGCGGCACATGCTGTTGCCGGAGGGTTCTCCGACTTGCTTGATGCCTGATGCCTCCCAACGATTGTGCAGTGCAAGAAGTTCCGAATTTTGCGGTGATTTAATCCATGCTACTTGGAGGTCCATGGGTAGTTCATACTGTTGCAAAGAGAGGTCGTGTTGCAAGACTTAACTGTGGGTAACCTGCTCATAGCTGTAATCACTATGTCCCGTGATCCTCCCAGTAAAGAATGTTTAGCGAGTATGGCCAAGCCATGCACGTTCTTTTGCTACTGACTCTGCTCGAACACTCGATTCGTCGCAAAAGGAGGTTTTAAGAGCGGAGAAGTGTTGTGTTGGTTCTTGCTACTGTTATACTGCTACTGCTTACAGAACCGGCCTATCGTCAAATGCAGCATTACGTTCGAATTAGTTGATGTCTTTACCGTCTTTACCTCTAAGCACATCTCCGCTATGGTTCTAGGTTTTTCTTCGTGCTTCCAATTGCTTTAAGACTACACAGCAGTCTTGCAGGAGTATGTGTCCCAGCCATGCCACCGCCAAAGCTGGCAGATGCCGTTGCGGCGAGCCAGGGTGCAGAGAACCAAACCGGCGTTGTCGAGCGAATTACTTGGTCTAGGCCTCGGTGATTTCACGTGCCGTGCAGTGCTGCACAGTGCTGCGACATTACGAAACGTTTGAAAGCTAGAAGCGGCTAGAACTAGTTAGAGCACCGCTTCCTAGAAGCAAAAGCATCTAGGTGTGATCACAGCAAGCAGTTCATGAAACAGTGGATTCTTTCCATCGTTGCCAATCGTTCAGCCATCAAGGTTAGAATGCTTCACGGACAAGGACAAATTGCGAAGGGCTGTTTTCAAAGTCGTTACCCTGTGGCCTTCTAAAGAGCTGTTGGTTGCAGATCTCCACCCCCCTGGCCGAAACTCCCCGTACGCCCTGTGGAGGAGCGCACGTCCGAATTCTGTGAGGCTACGGACCCAGCAGGCAACCTCGAGTCCAACAGCTCGACAGGACATAAGGCCAGCTGCAAAGTGGTTGAGGGCCGAAGGCCCATGAGGAGCCCGTCTCTGTGACAGGAGTACCAAGACAGACTCCGTGCCATTGCTCTCCGCAAGGTGGGTTGTTTAATTGGGGGAGGCCAGAGGTCCTTCCACGCGCTTCCTGAGGAGGGCTTCGAGAAGGCAGAGATTGCCGAGGCCATTGGCCGTCCAACGAAGTTCGTGCAGACATGGTGGCGGAAAGAGTGGCCTGACCGAACATTCAGAGTGTGCAATGCGCTCGAGGGACGCAGTTGCATCGGCTTTAGCCCTGGCTTCAGTGAGGCCAAAAGAAGTGCCGAAGCCCGCAGGGGTACCTTGGCAGTGCGGAGGTGTCGTAGCCGTGGGTGTTTGGTTTAAGTCTGCCCGGCTCGAGGTTCACGATTACCTCAGAACGGACTTCTGGCGAGACATCGAAATTGTTCGTGGTTTCGGCAAAGGGCAGAGGATCTATGAGGATGCCTTGACAAGCATGGAGTGGGTCCAGCCCATGGCCGACGGTCGGGAGTTTAAGAATGGAGGTGGGTACAGGCTCAAGTATGACAAAGAGGGGCGCATGCGGCCGCAGGGAAATCAGAACGCGTCCGAGGCTGAGCAGAGCGCATGTTGCGCAGAGCATTGTGTCAGTTGCACAGACTTGCCGAAGAAGGCCACGTGACCTAGCTGTCTGCGAGGAAAGATGGCGTGATACCCGGCAAACTGCCAGAGCTTGACAAGCTGATGCAAAGGGTGATGGTCGAGCAGGGAATTGACGACCGTGTGCTGAAGAGGCGAGGTGAACTTGAGTGGAGGATTCTTTTGCGGGGGACCGGGGAGCTCTCTGCAAAGCCACTGTAACTGGATTTGGGGGCAATGCCCATAAGTAACGGAAAGTTCCATCCAGCACGGCCCGGCCATCCGTGAGGCCAGGCCTGCTGTGGTATCCGGACGGCCATGCAGACGCCATCGTGCATCGGCATGAGGCGGTCCCCTTGCATAGCAATGGCGAGGTTGAGTGTCAGGTACTCGCCCACAACGCCATCAGGAGTTAATCACTGACCATATTTGCCTCGGAAGCCCAGGTCGCTTGGAAATCACAAGTTGCCCCTCACTTATGCAAGTACGGGTTTCGATCAAGACTGCCACGGACACAATACCTTGGAGCGAACATCCTCAGCGCTGGCAGTGTTGAGTTCTGTCCATGACAGGCATGGACCGCATTGATGTCCTTCGGCAGTCCCCGCATCCTGACCATTGAGTCTCAGCTGAGTTTGTTCTCTGGCAAGCAGTGAGCGAGATGATCCCAGACATGCACGGGAATTCAGGCAAGTTCAGAAAACATGGAGACCGAGCCAAGCAGTTCGGAAAATGCTTCGGGCGAAACACAGGCCGTGGAGACTCTCGCGCCTATCACGTAGAAAATCTGTAGACATGAACGAACGAAGATCAACCTCGAGAATCAATTGTAGGAGCCCTCACATACCTTCGGAGAGGGCACTGTCAGACGAGTCCCGAGAACACTATAGACTTACACGTCCATGGAAGTTCGCAGGACTGGAGAAAGATGAGACAGTCTGGGAAGTCGGAAGATATGTCTCAACACATATCAAATGGTTCATGGAGTCATACAATATGGGCACTTGGAAATTTGAGAAGAAATCTAGAGGAGCATATCAGTCTATCCAGACAAAAGGCATGTGATGGAAAGCCGAAGACAATTGGAGACATCACGATGAACGTCTACAGAACCCCAGAAAGTCACGAGGAGCTCTGTAAAGCAGGCTTCTTCAGAAATCTCCAACACAAGTAAGCGAGGCAAGTTCAGAAACCTCCCAAGCATCGAGGTTAGGAATGGACCAGGCCCGTAGAATTCCTGGAGAAACCGAGGTAAATCTTACATGTCTCAGGACTTGTAACGAAAACTGCAGAAGGTGTAAGAAACCAATGCCAATGCAGAAATCCACAGATCTCAGGATTTGTGTGGAAACGTCTGGAGAATAGCACCCCTGTCCTCTGCAAGGCGATGAGCTGGGGCACTTCCACTTCTCGGTCGAAGATACGAGCGAGTTAGGGAAACAAGGGTTCGGAAAGTCTCAATCGCCTGAACCCCAGGCTGACGTGCCATAAGAAGTCCGCCAAGCTGTGTTTTGAGATTTCGGCTTCAGGTCTCAGGTTCTTGTGTGCTTACTTGCTGATCCTTTCGTTGTTTTCCTGAATCTGCCCTTGCCGGCCATTGTTATTTTCCGATTTGTTTTCAACATGTTTGGCGGTGCTTCCGACTTTGTTGAACACCTTGGTTTGAGTTTCTCTCCGTCTGCTGTGCCGAGTGAACCCTGAAGAAAGCCCAGGACGGCCACCCGGTGCTCCTCCGTGACGGCGACCTCATCGTCTTCGGTACCCAGCGACACGGTGTGCCAAAGATGTGCCACGAAGGCGGGGCCCCGCAGATCCAAGCTGCGATGCAACTTTGGAGTTTCCGGGACTCCGCTTCCCGGAGGATCCACTTTCGGCGACTACGGTGGCCGCATGTCCGTGGTGATGTTCTTCATGCCCACCGGCCAACAAGCCACAGGCACAGACGGCACAGACACACGCTCTCTGTTTTACAGTCTGCAGCTGACCGCTTCCAGGCGCAGCACCGTGGAAGGCCATCCACGACTCTGGCCCATCGCGCAAGGCAGGGCCGAAGCAGTCCCTGGGCCCTGCCAATTAGTAAATAACAGCATCCGGGCACGGGAGGCAACTGCCATGCTCCGAGATGCTGATTTGGGCCACGATGCGCAGGCGATGTGCCGTTTCGATGGCATCTGTTGCCGGGATCGCTGGGTTTCACATTTGGAGGTAAACCGTCTTTGATTGTGCCAAAGCTTGAGAGCGTCTTCTGTCGTCTTGCAGGTTGCGGGCCTGCTGTCGGGAGAGCGGGCTTCGGAGATGCAGCAGCTCATGGACATCGGCTTTGATGCTCCACAGGCAAGCAGCGGCTCATTCAAGGAATTCTAGGGGCTCAGGGGAGTGGTGAACCTGGATGCTAAAGCTCCGCGGGCCCCAAACACCTTCCGTCACAAACACCGGGCATCCCAGCAGGCAGACCGGGAAGTTGTAAATGCCTATGAAGTCCATGGAGTCTGGAGTCACATGGATGAATCAGTGAATGATCTCTCTGCCCCCGGCCGTGAAGGCTGCGGCCGCGCTGAATGCCGCCGGCTTCAACGTAGCAGCCGCCGTGGAGATGCTCTTGAATCGCCTCCCGGTCGAAGCCAACGGGCCGCTGATCTGTTTCGGGATCCTGACCAACCCTGTGCAGACCCCAGCTCCGAAGATCCAGAAGGCAGCGCAGGTAGACTGCACGGCCCATGTCATGCTGAACAGGGAGGGACCTGGAAGGGCCAGTCATTCCAGTTGCTTTCACACCATCTCAGTGATCAAGCGTCCCGTCAACTTTCTTTTGTGTCGCGAGTGTGCCCATCGCCAAGCTCTGCCGAACGGTCCCGAAAGTAACCCACTTCTTGGCCGGGAAGCAAGTCTTTCACTTTGTTCTCCAGGCTATCGATACCTGCCCCGTGAGATCTGAAACTTCCAGAGTCCCACACCTCTCGCAAGGAAGTGTCCCGCTGCTGGCAGACAGCTGTGAGGCTTGCATCGACAGGTGCAGCATGCCTGATACTGTGGAGGTCACCTTAGGAGATCGCACGCTCGGTGCAGGTCAGGGCAGATTGCAGCTCTTCTATGTCGCTTGGAGGCTTGCGCTGCCTGCTTTGCAGCTCCCAAACTGAAAGGTTCCTCACAGGATTCTGACGTTGAGAGGATTCCTCTTGAGCCAGGCTCACGAATTCATGAACATTCAGACCGTATCATTCATGCCTGCACACCAACAAGAGTGCTGAGGGAGGGCCACAAGTCATGTCTTTCCTTCCAACTTGGTGAGATATGTTTGTTTCTGACACCCTGGTCTCCTTTTCCATGCATCGCAGGCGTTCTTTTCGTACAACTGTGGGGTGAGTCTCGAAGACGTTCGTCATGCTCCCGCAAGAGAGAAAAACACAGAGAGGCACAGTCTTCGAGAGCGAGGAGGGTGAGAGAGAGTGAGAGAGAGCGATCAGCTCCTGCAATGCCGACTGTTTCGCTCCTTTCTCTGTCCCCAGTGCGCGAAACCGCGGGTTCGAGTGGTTTGCACTAGCAGGCGCCTTGGCTGTGATGATGATGAAGAAGAGAGAGAGAGAGAGAGAGAGACAGCGCAAGGTTGTTGTGTTCGGGATAAGGTGGGGAGGCAGGTAAGGTTGGGTTCAGCGTTGAGACCTTTTGCTTGATGTGCCTGGGGGAGTGGAGCTCCTCAGGGCAGGGAGGCGCAACAAGGGAATGCTTACTTGTTGGTAGGTCAGTCGTGTGGCAGTGTGTTGGAGCTGGGCAGTTGCCCTCCCCGTAGAAATGTTGCGAGACTTGCGGATGACCTCGATGGTGCCTACATGGTCTACTTTGGTCATGGGCTTAGGAGGGGTGTTGTTCAGGGATGGGAGTTAACAGGCAACATCGAGGGGAACGTTTGATCTCCACCCCCGAAAGGGGCCTCGCAGACGGACATTCGCGAACCGTGGGGGTAGGCCTTCGGGCCAGGGGTGCTTGCACTCCACACCCCTAGCAAGCAAGCAAGCAAGCAAGCAAGCAAGCAAGAGAGAGACAGAGAGAGAGCCATTTTGGCTCAAGTCGACCTGCCGCCCCCGTCCTCCTCGTGGGGGGGGGGGGTACTCGGAGACTGTCCCGCCGAGGAAACAGAGGGTCTTCTCTGTCCTGTTGGCCGCGACGTTCTCCTGAGTGGGGGGAGGCATGAGACCACACGTCGCAACATCTCTGCTCACGAGGGCC